AAGTTTTGTTCGTTTTGAATTTAATTCTTATTTATTATAAGACACATCTTTACGGCCATTTAATTTTTTGTCAATTTGCTATTAAATCACTTGTTGGGTTTATACTTTGAATAACTTTATTTTGTTATACGACTTTGATTGTTGTCAAAACAAACTAGTATTTGTTATTTCACAACATTCTATATTCTGTTTAATGACTCAATTCAATAAGTGTTTACTCAAATTTTGCTTGGTGTTTGAAAATCACTTCCCACAAAAAGTCACATCGCATTGCATTGCATTGCATTGCATTGCACAAATGCAGCGCAGGCAGAAATAACGAGATCACATCCTGTGCTCCCCTAGTTGCATCCGATTTTGTTTACCATTCCGCCGGCAATGCACTTTTTATGCTTTCCTATCCGTGGAGATCGGGTTCCAGATTCGGATCCCATTTTATTCCCATGGCTGAAACTCCAGTTGCAGGAATGCTGTGTGGAATGCCGAGTAAACAGTTTGCACAAATTATGAGCAATTTCTGTTCAGGGTTGTGTGGGAACGGGAATGGGAACCCATCTACATATTTAAGTCAGTCCATTATTTCTAGTGTCCAATTGCAAAAGGGATCCATGTTGTGGCCGCACCAAATAACCCCAAGGATATACGTTCTTTTGGTTCAAGTGGTTTGTTTATATTACACAATTACTTCGTTGGACTGCAGACACACTATATTTTATAGCTTATCAGGAATAGATTTTCGTTTTTCCAATTTATTGCTTGGCCAATCGTGTTATGACAGAGTGTTGCAACTGTTTTAACGATTTTGGATTAGATTTCGTTTCACTTAAAGTTTTATATGAGTTTTAAGTGGGCACCAAAAGCATGTATTAAGGGGTATGCTTTAAAGGGTGTACAGTTTATATTTTTGTTTTTTTTTTTTCATAAGTGTGACTACTTTGTTTTCATTTACTTTCTTTGATTTCAAAATAATATCCTTTAAAGAAGTTAACTTATTTCATATATTTTATTATATAAGAAATAATATGCGTGTGAAGCATAAATAATCACAAAGCATTGAAATATTTCAGTGAGAGTTTGAATAACCCAAATTAAGCATTCAATCAGTCTGGAACTGCTGCTTGTTTTTTACGCCTTATGGAAACCAAATGGAAACCATCGAATGGGCCACCGAATACCTCACCTTAATGGGTTAAGGCTTCCTTATCGCCGCCTTCCTTATCAGCATATCAGTTTATCGTGATAAGCCCTCTTTTTGTGCCCTCCCCCCCCAATGCAATCCATCTGTTTTGGTGGTGCAGCTTGGAGTTGAAACCCAAATCAGTCGTTTGCCTGCTTCAGTTGGATTGGGAATCGATATTTAACCCAAAAGTTTTCTCCGTTGTGATTTCAGTTATATAGTATCAATTTTTATATATTTTTTTTCGATTTTTTCGGTGTGTCTTTTTAGTGTACTGCTAATTGAGAATCCATTTGGGATTTACAACCCATCAAATGGGTCTCTTTTCCAAGTTCGTCTACACCTTCCACATGTGGGAGAAGTACGTGAGTCGTGAGTCGCCACAGATTCTTAATACTTATGTTCATACTATGCTATATTTAAATGTTTTTTTTTACTGTTTTTTTTTACTGTTTTTTTTTACAAACCAACCAACAAACCGACCAGCATAAAAGCAATGGCGAGCGCTTCCCTTTCATATCATAACATATATTTCATGAGTGCTGGCGGCCATTCAAAATATTTAGCGAATAATTTCTGAAGTTGACGACGAGGGCAAATAAATGTGGGTAAATACGTTGTCGCGGTGGTGCATTCATAAATTGTGGATTAAATATGCAGAAGAATACTATAGTGTTGTGGGGGAAGTATAGTGCTTGATGATAGAATGGCAACTGGAGTGGCAACTATAGTAAAATATAAATAATATGAGATCTCTTCGTCAAGAGCTTTTTCGTTCCCGCATCAAGGCACTTATTTTATGCAGATTGTCTCTTGTAGAAAGAAGCTTAATTTTGAGGATATCAAGCTTATTTTTGTTTAAAGGCATAATTTAGTTTAATTAAAGTCAGAGAATCATATCTTATAGCTGCTATATTAAACGATTTGGCCAAACGAGTTTAAAGTAAACCATTTTTATTATAATTTCATGCGTTGTATTATCTTTGGGTGCTCTTCTTTTTAAACTAATTGACCTAGAAAATTCCTTTAGAAACGGATGAAGATTAAGATCCTTCAGTAAAGTTATATAATAAATTTAATAATTTGTCCAAATGAGTTTTGAATAATCCATTTTTGTTATTAATTTTGTAAATTAATTTAAAAATGAAATGATTCGCGAATAAATAAATGACACACAAAATTCCTTTAGTGATAGAAACTCTTCACTAAACATCTATATGTATATATACTTTACTTAGTAATCTGTTCAAATGGGTTTTGAATAATCCACCTTTGTTTTGATAACAAAAATATAAAATCTTTAAGTGCTCTACTTTCTAGCTTGTTGATCTATTTATTTCCTTAAAGAAAAGTATCCTTTAATAAAACATCTATATGTTATTAATTAAAACTGTTTCGAAAATTGCTGTATTAGTAGTAATATAATTATTATAGAAATGTTTATGTTGTATGAAAGGGAAAGCAATTAAAACGGAATAAACTCGTTCTTTTATGTATAATATTTCTTTAAATAAAGATCAGGTCTAGAGAAAATGTAATTCTAGAAAATAATGCGAGGGAGTGCCAGTGCCTCTTTATCACAACCAATCGCTCAGCATTTCCGCACTTTTGTGGACTTTCTTGCGCTGCAAAGTCAGTGACCGGCTGTCGGCTGTCTAGAACGATTGCATCGAGTGTTTATAAATATTCCCCACATTTCACAATAAGTGTGTGTGTTTCTTTGTTGGATAAGTGGGTGTCAACCACAAGCCACAAACCATTTTGCGATTTTTGTGTATTCTTTTTGCCATTTAAATCGCCATTAATTGCAGCTTCCTGTTGTTCCAATTATTTGCAAGAATTTTTCATTCAATTTGAAAGTAATTTGACACGGCATAGGCATACGATACTATACTATACTAAACATAAATGCGTAGTAACAGCCATTAATTTATCCATTTCCATTTTCATAGCCAACAGCCAACAGCCAAAAAGTATTGCTAATGAGCCCAGAATTGGGAAATTAGTCACTTCCGAGCGGGCGATAATTGCAGCCATAACTGTTGTCACTATCCATTCGATTCGATACGATCTATACCCCTCCCAAAAAAAAAAAATAAATAAATAAATATATATATATATAGCACCTACTACTGCGGTTGACCGCCATAATTTGCGTTATTAATTGGCCAATTTTCAATTTCAAGTTGAAGGTCGCAGACCAAAGCAAAAGCAAAAGCAAAAGGCGCTGCCAAATGGCAATTTAAATTATGGATTAACTACTTAGAATCGGAATAGTTAGTCGATGGATTGGTCTAAAAAAAAGCAACAACAAAAAGCTGGAAGGAAAAGTCTGACTGTTCTGGGTTTGTTTTTTTTTTTTAGCGAAGGTCGCCTTTTGACCTAATCGATTGCATTTGATTGGAAATCGATCGATTCTTCCGCCTCATATTTGATGGTGGGAAAACGTTTGATGGCCTTAGAAAGGGGCGTGGCCAGCTGGGAAAGGGGCGGAAGATAGATAGGCTCTTCTGAAATGTATTCCAAATGCATATTAATGCCCATGACAAATCACTTGGCCTCCTGACCCCTGACCTTTTGCGCTGGTCATCTCAAGTCTGATTTCATCATCGCACAAAATCGATGCAAAATGGGTCGACATCTCAGAATCGGTTCTATATAGTATAGTATAGTAAAGTGACATATCAGCCAGCTGCAAATCGTATGATTTTCACTGTGAACAAGTGTTTATAATTTTAATTTTCTGCTTACCATTAAGATCAATTAGTTCTCGTATTTTAATTGATAACTATTCCATTTTCTAGCTATTTTATGGTTTCTCTACTTATTTATCAACGATTTTGATGGCTACCACACAATTAATTAGAAATAATTAGCAGATTAAAGAATAAAATCGGTTTTCCAAGATTTAGGGAAAATACATATTTGTTAATAATGAAAAAAAAATATTGTTTTTCAGTCTAATTTAAATTTTTTTTTACTTAAAATAAAAACCAATTCGTTTTTGTATTTTAATTAATTACAATTGAGTTTTCTTTTTTATATTTCCTCGTTCACTGTTATTAAAGATTAAATTAAGATTCAGAACCATTAATAACAAAAATCTAAATATTAAAAAACAAGAAATATTTTCTAAGACTTAGGGCAAAACTAAATTTGTTAATAACATAACATAATAATATTTGATAATTTATTAATCAAAGATTTCCATCGCTCTTATTAAGGATTGACTTAAGATTCAACACAATAAATTAAACAAAATTATGAGATTTATATATATTGGAAATACAACATGTTATTTAATAATATAAGTTAATAATATCAATAAAAGATTTAAATGGCTTTTATTAATAATTTAATTCAAATTCAACACAATTGATTCAAACTGATTTTTAAACCTATAAATATAAGAAAATATTGTATATTTTTGAATATGCAGGGCAAAAGAATATTTTGTTACCAACAACGAACAAATGAGTGACCTTTTTAGAGCATTTGTTGGGACCCAATTTACTTAGATTTTCTGCCAGTGCAGCTCAGCAGTTCCATCCAAAGTCCGCAGCGCATTTATCTCCTTTATCAACGCACAGCACAGTCCATATTCGGATGGGCGTCCTTTCCGGTCTGTCGGATGTGTTTGTGTGGGCAATCAATTGGCGGATTAGAAACTCCATGAGCAATTGCCATAAGCGCGAAAATGACGGCATCTGAACTGTAGATTTACGATGTACGAGCAAGCAACCAAGCAACCAACCCGTAGCTAATCGCTTTTATCGAGTGCAACAAACAACTGACTATTTATCTATCTACTATCTACCTTCAGCCTGTTCGAGCAGGAGATCATGAGCTATGTTCCTATTGAAGAGCGCAGTCCGCAGGGATCGCCGGTGCTCAGTTCGCGGATGCCACAGCGGGCACCGCCGCCCTTCCGGCGCGACTTCGAGGCCAAGCTGCGCAGCTTCTACCGCAAACTGGAGTCCAAGGGCTACGGCCAGGGACCGCACAAGCTTAAGTGAGTATCAAAGCTATTTTCTTTGGGGGTTTCCAGGCAAAACAAGAAAGAAAACTAAAGTTTATAAACCTTTACAGCTATTACTAAAATCAAAGACTCTTTAAAACGAATATATTTCGGTGTGTGTGCGTGTATGTTTCCAAGCAATCAAGCTATGTCGTTTTTTCCGATCGTTTCAATGGCAGCTATATGATATCATTGTCCAATTTAAATCAAATTAAAACCCCTATTCTAAAATGGCATTACTATAAATCGAAAGTATTTAAAAAAATCAATTAACTATTTAATGCTAACAAATATTAAAAATGTCTTTTTTAACTATTTAATAATTAACAATTTAATACTTAACAAATATTAAAAATGCATCATTTACCTTTTAAATGATTAACAAATTTTAAAAGTGTATTATTAAACTATTTATTTCTATAAAAGTGTGAAAAATGTATTTCTTAACTACTTATTGATTAACAAATATTAAAAATAAATTATTTAACTATTTAAAAAAAATATAAAAAAATTTCTGTAAAATTGTAAAGTAACAAAAATAAAAAAATATATATAAGTATTATACAAATATATTATTTAACTATTTAAAAATATATAAAAAACAATGTTTGCAAGACTTGAAAGTAGCAAAACTAGAATATATACATAAATATTACAAATCTATTATTTAACTACTTAAAAATATATAAAAAACAATGTTTGAAAGTAGCAAAACTAATCTGTTGATGCATTCCCCAGACTCCACATCCGCCGCAGCCATTTGCTGGAGGACGCCTTCCGGCGCATCATGTCGGCGAACAAGAAGGACCTGCAGCGCGGCCGCCTGGCCGTGCTGTGGGACACGGAGGAGGGCCTGGACTACGGAGGACCCTCCCGGGAGTTCTTCTTCCTGCTGTCGCGCGAGCTGTTCAATCCGTACTACGGACTGTTCGAGTACTCGGCCAACGATACGTACACGGTGCAGGTGTCGCCGCTGTCGGCGTTCGTGGACAACTGCCACGACTGGTTCCGGTTCAGTGGGCGGGTGCTGGGACTGGCCCTGGTGCATCAGTACCTGCTGGACGCCTTCTTCACGCGACCCTTCTACAAGGCACTGCTGCGCCTGCCGGTGGCGTTGAGTGATTTGGAGTCGCTGGACAACGAGTTCCATCAGTCGTTGCAGTGGATACGCGACAATGACATCGGCACGGGCGTGGATCTGGGCCTCACCTTCTGCGTCACGGAGGAGCTGCTGGGTCGAGTGGTGGAGCGCGAGCTGAAGCCGGGCGGCAAGAACATCATCGTGAACGAGAAGAACAAAAAGGAGTATCTGGAGCGCATGATCAAGTGGCGGCTGGAGCGTGGCGTTCAGGAGCAGACGGAGTCGCTGGTGCGCGGCTTCTACGAGGTGGTTGACTCGCGTCTGGTCTCCGTCTTCGATGCCCGCGAACTGGAGCTGGTGATAGCCGGCACCGCGGAGATAGACACCAACGATTGGCGCCTGAACACGGAGTATCGCTCGGGCTATCATGACAACCACCAGGTTATCGTGTGGTTCTGGCAGGTCATCGAGCGGTTTAGCAATGAGCAAAGACTGCGACTGCTTCAGTTTGTCACCGGCACATCGAGCATTCCCTACGAGGGATTCTCCGCGCTGCGAGGCTCGACGGGACCACGACGCTTCTGCATCGAGAAGTGGGGCAAGCCGAATGCCTTGCCACGGGCCCACACCTGCTTCAATCGGCTGGACCTGCCGCCGTATCCCACGCCCGAGCTGCTCTACGAGAAGCTGCTGCTGGCCGTCGAGGAAACGAATACGTTCGGCATTGAGTAGGCATGTGATATTCGGCCAGCCTCGCCTTGTTGCAGCCCCCAAACAACCAAAACAACCAAACACTAAACACTAAACACACAACCCGAAAACGCTTTATTTCGATTTTAGAAGTTTTTTATAACTTGCCTAAGTCTAGGAATTCCATTGGGGTGTTGCAGAAATACCAGTTGTTGTCCCTGCCAGTGATTGAAAAAGTATTCAGGTAGTTTGAAAAGCTTGTTCAAATTATAACTTAACATTTGGTGTCCAGGAAAGTGGATGAAAATGTCTTTAGTTGGTTTCAACATTTGTTTACCCACAAAATCCAAATAAGGAACTAAATACTTTACAATATATAACTTAAAACTGGGACTGTAAATAAGAGTTTATTGAGGATTTTAATTTGAAAAAGACTACTAAACTACTTAATCGTCAGAAGTAACACTAATAACAATAAAATAGCTAAACTAAGAACTCTTGTCCACAAGGTTTTAAAATATTCAGCGAACTTGGCAAATATATAAAACTATTTATTCTTGTTTTCAAGTTTCGTAAAATAAAAATAAATTCTTGATTTTAAATATAAACTATTATTTGCTTTCCAATGCGAGTTTTATAAAAACCAAACAAAATGTAGGATTTTTTAAAGTAAAAGTCTCAAATTACATTTATTTACGGTGCCTGTTTTTTAATACGATTTGTTATCTGTTTTCCATGCAAATCTTAAACACAAATTATAGCTGGAGTTTAGTTCTTTAATTCATAATTATTTTTTTATGAAAAGTTAGTTGATATTTTATATTTTTTAGCTATTTCTAAAAGTCTTCTGGTATTTCTGCAACACTGAGGATTGTACTGTAGTTATTTATATACGTAGGTTAACCGTCCCCTTAAAAAAAAAAAGAAAAAGAAAAAATGCCTAGCCATAGACAGACTTGCTACTTTAGGCATGGCATTCCATTAGTTCGTAGACAATTTGCCTTCGCCTTCGTTTTTGCCGTTCACTGAATGGAAGTGTTACCTCAAGAGCAAAACGGCTTGCCAGCGCCGCCAGTCATTAGTTGTAAGACCTAAGAAACAAGCAAAAAGAAACCTTAACTGCACACCCCCGAAAAAAGGATAACTTCTAAGGCTAAAAATCCTTCGCTTGACTCTCTGCCTGATTTACTAAACACAATCGAAACGAATCGAAAAACGAAATGTAATGAAATGAAACGATGCCAACTGCCTGTAGAGAAATTTTCAATGCCTAATCCAATTAGCAGGCCCCAAAGAATGGAGAGATTGAGAGAGCAGAGCCACTCTAAGCCAATACTTAACTAGCTTATAATGTTGTCGTCTTAGCCTTAACTCGAATTCCAAAACCCCTAGATGTATGCATTCCAAAAAAGCGTATTGTGGATGTCAGTTATTATAGCCTATATTACCCTAACCTCTCTCCTTAAAATCCAGAACAAAAAAGTATGTAAATTGTTTTTGAATTTACAAACGCTTTAATTATTTCCATCGAAGTTGCCATGTGCATCCTCCTCCGCCAATTGACCAAATCTCTGGCCAGGATTGGGCTGCATATGACAGCTCCGATCGGGTCTTTATGGTATATTATATAGTATATATTATATATACAACAAAATGGCTGCTGTTATGCCAACAATGATTACAAATTGGTCCAGTGCGTTGCTTCGGCTTTATTGGTTCTTTCGGCGCATACAATTAACGATAATATATATATATATATATATATATTTAATTAAAACATAAACAAACAAATTCAAAACATAGCTAAACGAAAAAGCAAACAAAAATTACATTTTTAAGATTAGTATTGATCGAAAGAGAAAGCGAAAACGAAAAGATAACTAAATGGTGATTTGTTTACATGTATTTTTGGCATTAGTTAATACGGAAAGCGAGAGAGACGGACAACCAGAGTTGGAGAGAGATAGAGCGATAGACAGAGACGGAGTCAGTGAATGAGACAGAGATAGGATAGAGATAGAGATATAAAAACGCTTTTTGAACTACTTATTGATAAATGAAGATTGTTTTAATGAATTATTAATGTGCGTGTATTTATGAACAAATTAACTATAATTATAAACAAATAAATGTGAGCCTTTTACTTCAAAAGCAAATCTGTGGTCTTTATGGTAATTTTGGATATATTTTCATTTCAATGGCATAAATTCGAACACTTAAAATGAAAATATTGGTAACAAAATTAGTTTTTAAAATTCGATCTTGGCTGGCAACCTATTCTACCCATCCACAATATGTTTATAGAAACTAATTTGGTTTTAATGCGAAAATCGATTTTTAAAAGTTTGGTTTTATGGCCAATTTTCGCATATTTGAAAAGAGGGTACATCATCATTTTTTGCAGAAATTTAACAATCTGAAAAAATTGCCACTTGATTGGAAATTTTATTACGAATTCAACGGTGTATGACATTCCAACATTTGACCATTATTTCCCAGGGTTTTGACACAAAAACCAAGTTTTTTATGTGTTTTTTGTAATTTTTGGCGATTTTTCAAACAAAATTATTTCTGAAGAGTCTTTTTGTTGTAACTTTGCCAAAATAAGACCCAAAGTCAAAAGAATTGCTATTTTGAACAGTTGGCAACCTATGTCATCCATCCTTGATCGATCGAAAACAATTAATTTAGTTTTGACAAAAAAACCGAATTTTGAAAAACGTTTTTTGAAAAATTTATTTATGTCCAAATTTCTGACTTTTTTGTAAGGGACTAAAATGGGTTATTTTTACTATAAAAATAATAATGTAACACAAGCAGCATTTTGAAAAATCGATTTTTCATATTAAAACCAAAAAATTGGCTCTAAACCGATTTTATATGGGTAGTATAGGTTGCCAGCTGTCCAAGACAGTCACTTTTATGGCTATATCTTTAATTTTGCCCAAGTTACAACAAATGAACGCTTTAGGAATTTTTTATTGGTCAAATCTCCAACAACCAAAAAAAACACCTTTAAAGACGGTTTTTGTATTAAATCCTTGGGAAAAAATGGTCACCAGATGGAATGTCATACATCGGCGAATTCGTCATTAAATTGCCAATCAAATGGCATTTTTAATTAAACAGTTTTCAGATTTTCAAAAATTCGCAAAGAATGATGATGTACCCCCTTATCAAAAATGCGGAAATTGGCCATAACGTTAATTTTTCAAAAGTCTATTTTGAAAAATCGATTTTTCATATTAAAACCAAATAAATGGCTCTAAACCGATTTTAGATGCGTAGTATAGGTTGCTAGCTGTCCAAAACAGTCACTCTTCTGGCTCTACCTCTCACTTTGGCCAAGTTATAAAAAAAGGACGCTTTAGGAATTTTTGTATTTGTCAAATCTCCAAAAACCCAAAAAAAACACCTAAAATATCGGTTTTTGTCTCAAAACCTTGGGAAAAAATGGTCACTAGATGGAATGTCATACATCGGCGAATTCGTCATTAAATTGCCAATCAAATGGCATTCTCAGTTACAAATTTTTCAGATTTTCGAAAATTCGCAAAAAATGATGATATACCCCCTTATCAAAAATGCGAAAATTGGCCATAACGTTAATTTTTCAAAAGTCTATTTTGAAAAATCGATTTTTCATATTAAAACCAAATAAATGGCTCTAAGCCGATTTTAGATGCGTAGTATAGGTTGCTAGCTGTCCAAAACAGTCACTCTTCTGGCTCTACCTCTCACTTTGGCCAAGTTATAAAAAAAGGACGCTTTAGGAATTTTTGTATTTGTCAAATCTCCAAAAACCCAAAAAAAACACCTAAAATATCGGTTTTTGTCTCAAAACCTTGGGAAAAAATGGTCACTAGATGGAATGTCATACATCGGCGAATTCGTCATTAAATTGCCAATCAAATGGCATTCTCAGTTAAAAATTTTTCAGATTTTCGAAAATTCGCAAAAAATGATGATGTACCCCCTTATCAAAAATGCGGAAATTGGCCATCCTGAAAAGAAAGATCCCCCCAATCATTATTTCTTTAATTAAATCAAAGTTTTTCCGTTTTCTATATATTTCATCCACAATTTTCTGTTGTTACTTTTATTTTTTGTTGTTTAAACTGCAAAATGCAATTTGCTTTTACATCAAGTTGTATTTTGGTTTCTCGTTTGTCTTCGTGAAATGATAACACATATAGTACTATATATGTCCTTAAATATTATGCTAAGATTTCCATGTTTTTGGGTGTGTACTGGATCTTGGACTGGTTTTGCCGCTTATGTACAGTGTCTCGCCGGGATTTGGAGCTGGATTAGTAGCTAAATGGTTAACTGGATAAGTGGAGGTGTCTCCCTGCTAAGTGGTATCATCTTATCCAAGTGCGACAAATGCATGCGAGTATTCAATATGCGGGGGAATTAGCGGCTATCGGTTGCTAGTTGCTAGATGTTAGATCTAGTCAAGTCAAGAGTTGTGTGTTTGGTTGGTTAAGGGTGGGCTGGATCGATCGATCGATCGATCGATTTGGTGACTGGTTTTTCCGGTGCATTTTTGTGCGCAGCAAAGCTTTCTGAAAGCATCGTTACACATGCAACATTTTGAGTACTCGTACTAAGTAATTTTCTTTACACATCGTTTGAACGGAAAACAAAGGCTTGTGACTCTAGCTAAGTTTTACACATTACACTTGAAGAAATTTTGCTAGTTTTCATACATGTGTTAATACATAGATATATACTATATATATTTTAAATAAATTCTTTACTCCACTCCAAGCCAAGGAGCCCACAAAAAATATTTATAGTTTATCATTTGATTTCTTTTGTTTCGGATTAAATGCAGTATGATCTCTGTGTCAAGCATTACAAAAATAGAGCATTCCATCGATCTCTGGGTGGTGAGTATTCAGTTTTCATTATGCAATCTGGTTAGGTTTCTTGTTCTTTGTTTCTCTCGGAAAAGGCCTTTGAAAGAATTGAAAATGGTTCTGTTTCTGTTTCTGCTTCTGCATCTGTGATTAAATATTAATGTAGAGTGTAGTGTGACATGACAACTTGCTGTGTGTGTGTGTGTGTGAGGAGAATCTGTGGCTCCAATTTCGACTTGCATCTTTCATTCGGGTTTGATCACAGCTTTTACAATTCTAATGATATTCATGTGAGTGGTAGAGTGTGTATGGAGTGTGTGTGTGTGGGTGTGCGCGGCCAACTTTTAAATTCGCACCAAAAATACTATATATATATATATATATATATTTCGTAGATATTTACATGCATACATACATGACAATTACAAAAAAAAAACGTATTTATCTTTCTTGCAGATGTGTGTCGCAGTATATGCACTTAATTTCTTTATGTATATATATATGTAAATATTTATAATACTTTCGCAAAGATGCACGAAGAAAATGCATTCTGTCCGACATTACATACACATAATTACACTTAATATTTCGTTTTCAGTTTACTTCTGGTTCGAGAAAGCTGCCATTCTTTTGACTTGATTCATAATTTCATATAGATCATCTTGTTATTTAAAAAAGTAATACAAAATATGTTTTGGTTTTTTCCTTCATTTATTTTCATTACGATTATTATACCATTTTTTTGGATTCGCTTGGCATATGAAAAATGTAGGAAAGAAGGCATGTTAGATATATATGTTTCTTATTATTTTTGTGTTTTTTGCTTTTTAATACTCGTTTTCTGCGCTTTCAACTATTTTGTGTTTAGTTGGTAAAATAATTTTTAGTAAAATTTACTACTTGACTCTCTGTCTCTCTTTTTTTCTCTCTGCATGATACATTTAATTTCGCTCTATATATAAATATTTTTAAAGAATTAGAAAAAAAGGGCACAAAAAAGGTAACAACAAAAATTACACATTTAACAGCTTGGAGGCGAAGAATACTTTGTTTTTTTTTTTTTTTTTTTTTTTTTTGGGGGGGGGGGGGGGGGTTTGGGTTTTCGGGCTTCAGTTTCGGTTTCTTTGGGCTATTTTCGTATGCAACAACATTGAACAGTGCTTAAATCTGATTTCTTTTGGTATTTATATATATATATATAAATCTATATATATATTCCTATATGCGGTACGTAGATCTAGGCATATGCTATATAAGTTAAGTAAACTAGCTGCTTAGTTGCTTGTAGGAAATTCGCAGCTCGCTGCTCCTTGATTACTCTTTTTTGGGGGGAAGATGTGGGTGTTGAGATGGGAAAAATGCACAAGAATTGTCCGCTCCTTTGATTCTGACCCTCCGCCGGACGGTTCGTTTGGTTTGGCCTCCAGTCCAGCTCGTCCTCATCCTGATCCTCATCGTCGTTCTGATCCTTTGCCTTCGTTGTACTCCGTACTTCATCGGACTCTAGTTAACTTTGTCATGGTTAAACACTCTTCGCTGTTAATTTACTTTTGTTTTGCTTCTTGTTTTTTTTTTTGCTAATGCTGCTGGTTTTTTGTATTTTGTGTTTTGTTTTCTGTTTTTGTTTCTTCTTTATTTTTAGCTATTTGTTTTTCATTTAGTTTAAATTTAATTTAAATAATGTTTATTTATAAACGTTTTTGCTACACAACTATAGCATGGTATGTTTAAATATTTAAAAAAAAAATAATAGATTAACGTAAATTGGTTACTCTACTCTCTACACACTTTCTCAACTCTCCTGCTCGTGCTCCGTATAGTTGCTCTCCATCTCGTATCGTATCGCATCATATATATATATATAAATATATCCATATAACACATCATTACAGGACGAACATCTAGTCGAAAAGTTACACAACTTCAATTTTAGCAAAGGTAAAACATAAAATTATTCTGTATACAAGTGTTGTTTGTTTGCTCTCTTCCATTCAGACTGCCTAGCTCCTACTCCGAGTCCTGTTCACGCTCATCGAAGCCAGCCAGATCGACGGTCTGCAGCATGCCGCGCGAATAGGCGTACTCGATGAGGGCCAGGTGGCAGAACACATACTGATCGGGCATCTGGATGGAGTAGGCACGCTGCGATCGGATCTTCTCCACGGTGCCGCGTATATCCGCCGTGCCCACATCCTCCAGTCGCGATATGCAAATGTCCAGCGTGATGAATGTGCCTGTGGATCAAGTAGATTTTGAGTTACTTGGGAGATCTTGGGAGATTGGATTGGATGGTTAGTCACTGACCTGTGCGTCCAATGCCTGCACTACAGTGCACCACAATGGGCGGTCCGCGGGCATGGCCCGCCCAGGTGTCGCCCAGTGCGTTCACCAGCTGCGCCTGCTTCTCACGCACCTTCTGCAGAAAGTTTAGCATGGCCATGGCCGAGCTGGGCACGCCATAGTCCGGCCAGCTGGTAAACTGCCAATGTGAGACATTGCGTGTTTCGTCAGTCTGTTTGTAAAGAAAACACACAAGAACAAATCGTTGTTAATAACTCTTTAGTAGGAAAAGTATGCAACAGGTAGAAGAAAGTGTTTCCGATGATATATATTTTTAAAAATATTATACATATATGATAAAAGTGGTTCCATTAAGATTATAGTATATTCTATTAGCTTCATAAAAATATAAGAACAAATTTCAAAAGTTGTCTAAAATCTATTTTTAATAAGCTAAAAAACTACAATTTTCATGACCGCAGCTGTATGTAACTCTGAGATATGTTAGAGCTCACTAATTAGGTTGTATATGTTTATTCGGTTGATATCTATCAACTCAAACAAAAACTTTCCAAATCGAATTATTATTTTAGAAGTTATTAGCATAAATCTAACTTTTTGAAAATACAAGGTAGATGGCGCCACCTAAAAAACGAATATTTTCTCTGGGCATAATTATTTATTCAACGAGTCTAACTAATCTAATAACATAGTCATCTGGCAATTCAATTAGCCTACCTTTATGTTTCTCAATTCCAACGAGGCAACCATATAGTCCTCGTTGCACTCAACGCTAATTGTTCGCACATGGTAGTCGCCAAACTCTAAGGAACTTTCTTCAGTCGGCTCCCAGTACTGGCCGCATTTCACGCGTCCGCGCTCCATCACGCGCGTCGTCATTACTATAACTAAACAATGTTGCTCCCAGATCATGCGCCAAAAGTCCTGGGATGTCTTTGGTAATGGACCTGTGCAACAATATCTTTATTAGTTTATATTCCATATATATATATATATAGATCTAGAGAGTTTAACTCTGCCTCACCTTGAGTTGAAATATAGGCATTCTTTTGTTTGTAGCCATCGACGAAATTCGCATTTATGTAATCGGACGGCTCGTCGCCGTCTTCGTGTGCCAGCACCACTCGACTGTGATCGTAGCAGAGGACGTCTGTGTAGCGATTCTTGGTCAGGTTGACGCGCATCCTGCAAAGGATTAAGGCCATGTGATTGTTAGATATCAAGGGTTATTCAAATAAATTAGGGAAAAATTTAAATAAAACTATAAGACAACTTCTTCATTGCTGAATTTTAAATGAGTTCCATTTTGTTAGCACTAAAAAATGAAAATCAATCAACGACTCAAATTTAAAAACCCGACAAAAATGACTATCGTTACATTTTCTATATAGAAAATAAACTAAATTCAACAATGACATTCTTTGGCTTTTCTATTCATAATTTGAATTGCCAAATAGTTTTAATAAGCTAAAAGTTTTAACTAGAAAATATTTTAAAAATATATCGTAAGCTCATTGTAGTTTGGAAATAATAGTCCCTGATTTATTAGTTTTATTTTTTTTTTTTTTCAATATTAAATGCACTTAAGTCACTTTTCGAAATGCATAACAAGTTGTTAAGCATGCAAAATATTTGTTTTGTTATATTCAAAGAAAAGGTTGAATAATGTCAGCTTGGCGTTATTGCACTTTTGGAAATGTACTTCTATAAGGAGTTGTTGCATGCATTTCCTACACCCTGATCTCATTAAACCCACCTCGCATGCAGAAAGGTGCCCTCTGGCGCCCTATTCCGTATGTCCGCGTACTCCTTGATCAGCCCATGGCGTCCGCGCGCCTTCACCATCTGGACAATCTGATCGATGGGCTTGGGATCGCCCTCCTGTCCGGCCAGGCTGTCGTCGTCACTGAAGCCGGACGAGGCGCTGCTCGGTGGATTCTCCGACCAGAATTCGCCGTTGGTTGTGGTGGTGCTGGCACCAGCTGCTGCTCCAGCTGCGCCTGCAACTGTGGTGGTGGTGCTAGTGGTGTTGGTGGTGTTGCTACTACTGTTGCTATCCGCCGCACCACTTGTGTTGAGCTTGAGAGGATTGGATGTGGCTGTGGCTGTGGCCGAGGTGGCGGTACTGCTACTGCTGCGGTGGCTAGGACTCAGTCCATTGATTGTGATGTTTTCGTTGGGTTCAACTGCGGCAGTTGCTGCTCCTCCTCCTACTCCTCCCACTCCAGCTGATCCTGCTGATCCAGCTGATCCAGCTGGACCCACGCCATTGCTGACCGTCACCACGGTGGTATTGTTGTCGCCCAGTTGGTGGACGGCACTGATTATCGTGGCACCCGTTGCTGTGGCGGCGGCCTCTAGTTCCGTGCCATTGGTGGTGCTGGTGGCTGCAGTGCCAACGGAAGCACCACCAACCACAATATTGGCCAGCAGCTCGTCCTCACGATTCGTCATCGATTGGCGGCAGGTGAGCAACCATGTGGCGTGATCGACCTCCAGCGTGCCACCCAGATGAATGGGCAGCGCCTTGCGCGGCACGTGCAGCGCCAACTGCGGCACCGATACAGTGAACACTCGCTCGCGCAGCTTCTCGCGCACAAACAGACGCAGGATCTTAAAGGGTGCCTTGAACCACAGCGGCGCCGTCACGATCAGCACCTTCTTCAGACGCGCCGGATAGCCGCCCTGCAAAAATTGTTTAAGGAAATTGTTTAATTGTTTCCAGTACAAAACTTAATAAATTTTCAGATCAAAGCTTGTGTATAAGTATTGCCAAAGTAAATTAAAACAAAAATTTCTTAAGTCCTCAAGAGATTTTCTTTCTTAATTTATTACAATATTTGATTTATACTGCTATGTATATATTTAGTTAATAAAGGCTTTTTTTCCTAGATAAGAAGTGAAAATAGTTTAAAGAGCTATTATTCTGGGTATACATATCTAACCATATTTTATTATTAGCTTCTCCATTTATTATTATCTATTGTACTAAACTAATTAGCGAATAAAATTACGTTTTCCTAAAAGTTTTTAATGATATACTTGGTATTTTATTTTACTGAGCACCAATTTGCAGCACTTGTCATTTTAGTTTAACATTCAGTTTTCACCGAAGCTAGTTTTCCCAGAACTCGGCAGTTTTGATTTCGATTTCCAAGCTGCGTTCGACTAATTGAAGTGACATTTCCCCTTTCTCCCAGTTGATAAAACACACTTTAATCTATGCAGCTCCATACACTACCTGTAGTTTTTTCCCGGAATATTGCACTTTCTGTGCAGGGGACAGAAGTGAGGGGGCCACCAGTCAGTTTCCAGGGAAACCTTCTGGCATAAACTAATTTGGCCTGCACATGGCACGAGTTCCGGCTAAAAGGCTTTGCATTTACTAATTAACACGCAACGCAATGAATTGCTCTGGTTTCTGTTCCCTGATTGCCAATTGCGTTGCAAAATATGGGGTCAAAAGGGGATTTAAAAGAACAAAACTATTATAACTCTAGGAAAATGTCGAAACTTTATACTTTTAATCTCAGCAATCTGTTTTGCAATCAAAACTTTACCAAATTAACAAAACACAAAAAAACTTAAGACCCCTTTAAAACTACTGTTGACTTAAAAAGAAAAAGTTTTTTTTTAGGCAACTAACTAACGAAATGTTTAGATGATTTTAAGTTGATTTGTTGCTTGCTTTTAACTTCAAACGATACAAACATTTTGAAACAAAGGTAGTAAATAAAAGGTTTAATAAATTGTGGTTTCTAAAAGGGTATATGTTGCCCATTTATTTTGTTGGCTGACCAAACAGTACTGATTAAGTTGCAAAGCCACCGGGTAAAGCAGCTAAAAGAAAAATGCGACAACATTCAAACTGGGGCGCTTGAGCAGGAGGAAAAGTGGCTGTGGGGTTGGGGTTGGGGTTGGGAAAATACCCCGACAACCTTCACCCAGTTGAGCAAATGTTGAGCAAATTTCATTGCGGCATTTTTCGTCGATGGCACATTGAGATACAGCAAAAACAACAAGTGGAAAACTTGGCTGCACTCAAAGGTAAAATGCGATTTCCCAGAGAGAGAGAAAGGGAGAGATAGTTACGGTATATAAATGGTAATACAGCTGCGGTCAAAATAAAAATAGGACAACTTTTCATTTAATGTAACATAATGCTTAATTACCAGTAAACAAAATAATATTTTAGTGTTTCAAGAAAAATCAAAACTTTTAAGCTTCTTAAAATGTACTTTTCAATATACAGTGTTGTAAATGATTTTATAACAGTTTAAGAAATTAACTACAAACCATTGGCATGCATTTTGCGTTGGAATAAAAATGTTCTGAATATCCGAACTATTTATCAATTTACAAATTAACAAAAAATTTTTTTTTAATAATCTTTTAAAAAAGATTCAAAGAGCTTCATTTAGATTTTTGTATTAACTCCACGAAAAAAAAAGAATATATTTGATATCTATTTCCATAAGCCAAAAAACTGCTATTATTTTAACCGCAACTGTATCGAGAGATAAAAGAAGAGAGCGAGGCAGAGGGAAAGAGAGAAAGGGAGTGGGTCGGTGAATGGTTAGGTGCTTGTTGGTTTTGGCTTCTCGCTCTGTCTCACTATATTTGCTTTTGGGGTACATATCATCCATGCCATCATTATTTAGTTTATTGGCCCCAAAAAGCAGTGCAGCAAGCAGATTAAGGTCAGCAAGCAGTGGGCAAAAACAAAACCAACAGAAAGTGCGCTAAAAACAACAACAAATGCACTTTAATTAAACGCACAATCACAACCAATATAGGCACACACACACACACACACATACAAAGAGAGAGACCACCACGTTTGTGGAAAATTTAATTAAAAGTTCTTTTCGCAGTTTACCTAAAAAATATTGTCGTTTCTCCTCTTTTCTGCCTTTTACGCCATTGTTGCCCTGTGTTGCCTCAATAAATTCCTGTTAAAGCTCTAATTGGCAACATTTTCAATTCAGTTGGGTGATGAACTTTGCCGCCCCCTTTTTTTCTTCTTCTTCTTCTGCCAAAGATTGCATCATCATACACACACACGCACACACACACAAAGATGAAGGAGCAGAAATGCAGGCTTCAACATACACATACACAAATACAGTATTACTCTATAAACAACTTCCTTTCATCTACTGCTCCTTCTTCTTCATTTTCTCCTCCTTCTCCTGTAGCTTCTTTCGCCTCCATTTTGTTCATGCTTTTGTATTGCCTTCCAGTTTGTTTTCATATGCACTTTCACTTTGATCCCATCACACACACACACAGATGAATTCACCTTAAAGTACCGTTGCCCGCAGTGTTGCACAATATCTGCGGATGCTGCAAAGTAGGCAATGTTATTTATATTCTTGCTATTTAAGGATTTGAAAGTTCGACATTAGGTTTCAGAGTCGTTTATTTAACTCTTGTGGAAGGATAATATCTATTAATCTTCTTCAAGGGCCAGTTAAAAATTGTTGACAAAATTTTCTGATTAAAAAACACTACTGCTTTTTAATTTACTAAATTGCTTATTAAAACTAGTTTATGACCTTATTGTTCTTGTTAAGATTTGTGTTTCTTAGTGTTATTTAACATTATTTAATATTTGTCTTCAAAGAACAGTTGAAAATTAATCAAATTATCCCAGGTCCTTCAGTTCTACAAATTGCATATTGGAAATATTCCATAATTTCAGTTAATTATTGGATTGTCCTTGCGGAAAGTTGCTTTAGTGACTAATTTGCACATGAGAAACACTTTGTAACAATAAATAAATAATTATCCAATTGATCGCACTTAGTTTAAGGTGTTGCAACAACAGTGGGAATGTGTCCATATTACTTTTCATTATTTTAGTTTAACTTTTACTTTAATTTTTGGCCTTCCAAAAACAAGTGAAGGTAAAAGCAATGTCCTTCAAACGTCCAATTTGCATATCAGCAATACTCAATAAAAGCAATAAATAAACTGCTTTCTCTTGTTACTTTTTTCGTTTCCTTTACTCGGCCAATAAATAATCCAAGGTGCGTGCCTTAAAGAAATTCGAATGGTTGACAACAAGTAAAAATGAAATGTTGTACAACTTTTTTTTTTTGGCATGTGAACTTTTTAGGGGTGCTTATGAGTCATAATTGTAGAGATTCTTTTTTGTTTCGTATATTGTACTGTGTGTATTGAAAGCGAAACAAAAAGGCAAAAAAAAAACACAAAAATCGAACCCGGCATTTCAGGGTCATATACTCAGCTGTTCCCCACTCTCTGGTTATTCTCACATCCAATTAGAATCGAATTGGAGGGGCTGGCGGCGCTGAGATAGCAGGCAATCCAATAATAACAATCACAATGTTCAGTCAGCCACCCCAAAGCACACATTTAATTGACAAACACACACTTGCTCAAACAAAAAAAAATATAATATAAAAATACAACAAAACCAAGAAAAGAAAAAACCACAATGGCAGGTGGCACCGTGGCAACACAAACTGCTGTGCTCTTGGCCAGATTATTTGCCTTGAGGGCCAAAGAAGTCTGCGCACAAAAGTTGAATGAAACTTGGGCCAAACTTCAAGCGTCCACCTCCGTCGTCTCCGGATTTCACCCTTTCCGTAACCGTAACCGTTCCCGCCCCCGCCGACATGCCACGCCCCCCCGAGGAAAAACGAGAAGAGCCACTGAAGACGACGACGTTGGAGGTGGAATTTCCTTGATGAGGCTCGAGTGGGCAACTTAACGTGCCTTGGCATGCGTTTCAATTCCGACTTCATCCCCCCCCCACTTCCTTAAATGAATCCTGGTTACTTGAATGCCAGGAAACGTGTGTCTGTGTGTGTGTGTGTGTGTGTGGGAAGCTGGAGAAATTGGAGATATTGTTATATAAAGTTTATTCCGGGCTAAGGCTAAAATTAGCAACTTAGGTGGTACAACACAAAAGCTCCTTAATACTCAATTATGCACTGAGAGAAAATGGCAACACTATAATAAAATAACTTACAAGCGAAAATCTAAAGCACTGAATTTTACACTGATAAAAAATGTACTTGTCAAAATAAATAAAGCGAAAAATATTTTTACCAGTCTAGTAATCTATTTCAATAAAATGTTTCCTTGCTGAGAAATAGTTTTAAAAAAATACTTTCTTAATGCCATAATTCTAGTGCTGATATGCAATATTATTAAATTTCGGTAAACTCTTCCAAGTGTACAATGACTGAGCTCAATTGCCACAATTAAATTTTAGAAAAGACTGAGAAATATCTTCATATTTCATTCTTGCTTAATTGAAGGACTTCCAGGAATCTTATGCAAGCATCCATTTTTAGCTTAATTATAATCATGGTCTAAGTGAAATCCAATCAAAACACAAATCACACTGTGTGGGTGTTAAGCAATCAATTTCGACCACTTCTACGAATAACAGCTAATAAGGGCACAACCCTTGCTTGATTTGATTATATATTTCCAATAAGTCGCTGAAATCAAACCCTTACTTAACTAGAATTATAGAATTTCGTAAGCCCCTTATTCCTAGAAATTCATGAAATGCAGTTCAAGTGCAATCTATAAATGTCAATTGGGGAGGGGGATTCACAAGGAAGCCAATTAGCTAGGAACTTCTGCGGAATCAAGTATACGCCATGCGGCTCAAGACATCTGTTGAAACAGTGAATAGTTTTAGC